GGAGTTGTTGTAATTAAATATTATGAAAACATAATTCATTTTAATCATGTGGTAAGAACGTATGAATAAAACATAACATAATTTGAACTGTTTACAGTAGGTACATTATTTAGTTGTAGGTTCCTATTTCATAATTATAATTGTTATTTTTAATTTCAGTGATTTATAAAATACAAAAAAAATACAAAAATATAATAAATTGTTATACTACATCTATTAAAGCGTTAGTTTGAGCTAAATTATACTTTTCAACTAATTTCATTCCAAAAAAAACGAAAAATGTATTTATACTATTTTTGTATATACATTATAAATTAGAAACTGAATTATTTTATTTTTTCATTAAAGTTTGTAAAGAGTTTATGTTTGTTGGAAAAAAGGATTGACAAAACTATCTAGTGCAAGTTCTTTGATTGACTTCATTGTACATAAACATAAGTAATATTTAAAGGTTGTAGGATATTCACACAATATTCAGTAGAGAATAGAGATGGACAGCTACTTTTCTGCAGCAAAGTTAAAATGTATATAAATTATATCAATTAATATGCATAAAATAATTGTATTAGATGAAGATAATATCTTCCAGAAAAATGAATAAATTATTTGTTTTAATTAAAAAGGCATGCCGTGATTTAACCCTTGTAATACCCGGAAATTATATAACATAACCCTATCCCGAGTATACGGATCGCAGAGCAGCTATACACTAACCTATCCGGTCTACCTATATCATCGAGTATAGGTACTGCAATATATAATTGGGTTGAAGGGTTGAAATAATAATTATTTTAGCCACCATTTTTACTCGGGCTCAATAAATTTATAAGATAATAAGGTTTCGCTTATTTTTTGTTGTGCTTTATATTTAACGGGAAAACAGAAAACGGGTGACCGGTAGACAACTGATTAGAGTTTGTTTGGATTAAGACGCACAAGCCTTTCAGTTTATCTTTTTTTCTGGTTCACCATTTAACTAATATACGTATATACAGGTATTAGTTACACAATATACACCGACCTTCAAACAACCCGACTGGTACATCTTCCATCATCATTTTCGGCAAGGCAACTCTGACAACAAATAAAATGCTACACGTCTACACAGAAATACATACCTATGTATACTGTATAGCTATATAGCTGATATATTTACGCATATTATTATATACAATTGATCGAGGTGCTTTAGGTGCATGTATACATTATATACATGATGTAAAAACGGTATGAACGATTCAGTAAACCGTATTATATAAATGCACTTAAATCATACATAATATAATATTTTAAATTATAATACAATTTAATAAATTGTAACACAAGTTGAATATATAATATTATATGCCATGGTAAAAATAATTTTCTAACATCATTTAAGTGGAGGCATACAAAATAAAGCCAACCAAACTTGTAATTTTTTTATTTCCACTTTTTTTTTATTAATTTGAAAATGTCTTATTTTTTGCATTCCAAAAGATGTCAAACGATCCAATAGGGTCATGTCAATGGTTGTATCGCAGTGAACTGGAAATTAAACTATGCCAAGCGTAGCTGGTACCTGGGTGAGTGACAACTTACACGAGTACTATAATAATAGCTGCGTGCCGTCACTTTTCTCCTACCCCATGGTTGTGCACAACCCCTACAAGTCAAGAACCACCATTAGGCACCCGAAACTTATGAATTCTAAAGAATGACAAAAAAACGTGTTAGTCGTCCCATGATTAAAGACTATTTTTTTTACTCAACGAATAAGTACAATTCAAATTTAATCAACAATTTAAATTTAAAACATTTACTGTTGGTCTTAATACAATATTAGTTTTTTTAATGTTTACTTATAATGTGGGTATTTATTTTTACAAGAGAGTTTTTATTCAATTTAGGGGATCCGGATGAAAAAAAAATTAATTATCCAATCTACAAAACTATTTTCTTTTAAATATAGTTCTATGAATTTTTTTTATAAGCTATACTGAGTTACAATCTTTACTTGGTAACATATGTACTAAATTTGATTATAGAAATGGTTAGGAATATCACTTTAATATGAACCTTTTGACATTTAATTAGATAAATAATGCCTTGATGTCATAACTCTTATGGCGTTTAAATTGTCCATACATACCTACTATCAAACTAACAATAAGTATAAGAAGCTGAGTGCACTATATTGGTCAGAATGTGGTTTATAATATGATCAAAAAGGTAAATTGAATGCATTTTAATGGTGAAGGGTGAATACTGTATACTTTATAATGCATTATACATGTAGAACCATATAGTGGTAGATACAAGGGGGGCGAAGCCATGAAGGGGTATTTGCCTCTCCATTGGGCTGTCTTCTTAACATTTTTTATTATTATAATATTTGGCTAAACAAAAGTTAATTTAATTTTTGAAAATTCACCTCCCCCCTTGGGTGACTTCTGGATCAGCTATGCAGCCATAAAGATAGATAATATATGTTTCTAGAGAAATATGATTTTAAGAGAGGATTTTAAGAACCTTAAAATGCCCAGCTAGTTCAATCGTAGATGCGTAATTATATTCTGGTTTGTATTTTATTTGTTACTTAAATATTTATATGTTTTATAAGTCTTATATTTAATGTAGGAAAGTTTTATTATTGTGTTTATATAATTTTCTTTAGTTATATTAATTTACTTATGCATGATATAATATGGTATATGTAATTATGTATTTATACTTTATAGAGTTGTAATAATTCTATCAAGAGCTTATAAAAAAAAATATTAATCACCATATACGGTATAAGTTAAGCCCATACAGTCTTTTAAGCGATTAAACATTGTAGTAATTATTGTATAATACTCATTATTACTATATTTTCTATATTATTCGATTTTCTAAATGGGTACGTAAAATATAGAACTAAATTACATATACATATTATTATACTGTAAGATAGCGTATAATGTAAAAGTTATATGAACTATCTGATATATTTATATGAATTTCAAAATGTATGACACTTAAGTACTTTACTGTCTTTACTCGTATTATGCATAACAACTAGACTCGATCAAATATTATGTATACTGCAGTATAGTTTTATATTGGTAAGGAATTTAGTGAATAATGTACTCGACCGGTCTTTTTGTCCGATTACTTATAACTTATAAGTCATCGGGGTATTCAATAAAATTATTAATTTTCAACGTTTATTCGGTCAATTTTAAATGTTGTACATTATTAGATTGATGCAGGAGCTAATGTAAATGCCTAATATTTAAAAAGTACAAACTGTGTTAATACTTAATACTTTACATTGTTTATTGAAGCAATCGCTATGATATCCTTAAGTATATGTATATTATATGAAAATTTGAAATTGTCAAGTAAAAAATGAATAGCACTGTGTGACCATATAGTAGCAAAAATAGCAACAAAAAAAAACAGCAACAATAATTGCGTTACATAAAATGTACAAATGAACAATAAAAACACGCATTGTAATATCAAATAATAGTATATTATAGTATATACCATCGTGAGCCATGATCATTTTGTTGTTGTATTGTTTTGCGGTGTGAAGGTCAATTTCTACGGGACGCGGTCTCAAAAGTACGCTAATCGTTATTTCAATGTCCATATCATATTTACAGAACTGTGGCACATTGGCACGGCAGTGTGTAGGTTGTGTATTTATATTATAATATAGTAATAATAATAAATATTTTTTAATTTTTTACATAATATATATTATTTATATTAGTACAAAAATGAAATAGTACATTGGCGGGTAGAAATAAAAATATTATTACGTTCGCAGCTATCACTGTGCCTATAATATTATAGTTTAATAACATATAGTACCTCGTATATAACAAGGTTCATAGATTATCTATACACCTTGGTATATAATACTATCCAACATGATCATGGTACAAAAATATTTTTTATTATATTTAGGGCCAAAGCTTAAAATATAATGTTATTTTTCCATATTATTTTGGTTAACAAAAATAGTTTAAGTACATTATTATTTCTTATAAATCTTATAGCTTCAAATGTTTTAAAATTATAGCACCTGTAGTACATTATATGCATATTATACAACACTGGGTACCTACAATTTATTGTGGGAACAATTCACGAAGAAATTATGTAACGGATTTTCCTATAATGAGCTAATCCAAATACAATGGTCAATAAAGTATTATAAGGCTATATATTATACATATTATACTATATTGTTGAAAATGGATACGAGGGTGAAGCGGAAAAATAAAGCTTATACACAAGGTACTGAATAGAAATATCGTGGTACACATACCATTATACCAAAGAAAGTCTATTGAACCTGTAGTACAATATAATACATTATTAAAGTACCCACGTATATATATAAAACCACAGATGAAATTGCGGGGAAACTTAGATATAGTGTTACAGTGAACTAAAATGAAATAATATATTGACGTCAACCGAATGAATGACTGTCACCGCCAGACTGTCAGAGAAACAGAAGGGACATTAGTGGCATGTTCCATCCGAATCCGGTACTCCGGAGGTGTCCTGCTCATATCAGTTTCCAAACATTTCATATAAAGAGAGATCTGTGGGGAACTCAAAGAGTCGAACTTGCAGATCGGCTGGGTCGATGTATTTTATAATAATCTTAAATTTACTGAAGTTTTTCGTTTTACTTCAATAATTACGACTTGCGAAATACTGAAATGCACATATGACGTATATTGTTTAATTAATGTAAAAAGTCAAAATTCTATATACAGGCCATATTTTACTGTACCCAAATTCGACTTGATATCTAAGTGGCGTGCAACAATTGGTTCAAAATATAGTATAAGTATATTATGCTCAAAAACCGCGATCAAAATTATTTCTTTATTTACTAAACATAAACGGGATTGCATCAGAAATACTTAATAAACACAATCGGTTGATCGGTTAGTGTGCTGAAATATAACAATAACAATAATAATATTACATTATTTGGGGCTGAGACTCACCTGCAAATGGTCTAAGAACGATTCCAATCCCCTGTCGGTGACGCTGGACGACTGCAAGCACAGCGCCAATATATTTTTGTTGGGAAACGGGTACGTGTTGACAAACTCGACCGTGTCCTGGTCCTGGGCGCCGTAAATGGTGATAGCCGTCATCTCTCTGGCCACGAACGACTTGAACACGGCCGCCTTATCCGCGTAGTTGTATGACCTGAGCTGTTTGCAGCGGATCACCGGCCGCACGTTGTACCAGAACTTTGGCGATCTGTACAGCACGTCGCGCCACCGGACGCACACGCGGGACAGCGGCACGCGCTCCGCGGCCGAGAAGTACGTAAAGAAACCGTTGAGGAACTGCTCGTCGCGCATCATCTCTGGCCACGTGACCGGCCGCTTGATCCGGTACGTGGCCACGCGGTTGCGAACAGGCGTCCGGCCGCGGAACCGCGGGTACTGGATGCCACCGGAACCGGAGCCTCCAGAAATTAGTCCACCACCGCCGCCTCCGCCGGTACCGCCACCACACAGCACGTTGGTGACCCGTTCCATGACACTGGTACCAGTTCGCGGGGCCCGGGACGGCGAACCGGTCGTGCCGGCCGCGTTACCGCCTCCGCCGGAAGTCGATGGTTTGTTGGCAGCCCGCAGCGTCAGTCCGTTGATGCGCTTCGACAGTTCGGCGCTGGCACGTTCCACGACGCCTTGGCTGGTCATGATGGTGGTGATGTCGCCCCGGTCACGAGTTCACGACCGTGTGCACACTACCGCTACAGAGATGGCCCGTCACCGTCACTGCCACCGCAGCCGTCGTCGTGTTGGTGATGGTGCGTCGGACGCTCCGTCAACACTGAAAACGGCGCGGCGGGGAACTTTCGCTCGCGCGCTCCGTCGTCGTTGTCCGCGCGGCGGCGTGCGCTCCGCGCTCGGTAACTGACGACGACGCCGCCGCCGTCACCACCACCCCTCCGAACACCAACCCCACTCCCCGGCGGAGAACCCACCCGGATCGCGCGCGCTATACGGTCCCGTGGATTACCGCGCTCTTCCGCCTCCTCAATGGTCGGCCTGGACCGATCAATAATGTACGACGCGCGCGAATATCAGCCGCGCGCGAACAAATGACTGTGCGACGACTGCTGCAGCAATAAACAGGGACGACAATATATATGTATTATATGACCGGGGCTCAGGAAGAGGAAGTAAATAATGTACCTATATATATTGTATAATAATTCGCGGTTACAACTGCGAGAATTAATTGATTTGCGGAGTTGCGGCGTAATACCTATATACTCTGCATGACGCGTATAGACATAAACTGCGGCACATCCATAGTCGGACTTACTGTAATGGTAGGTGAGGTGGATATACCCACACCGCCCGTAATTATGATATGTATACCTATTGTGCGGTTAAATTACCTACCTACATCCCAATTTTTAGACTGTCGTTAAAACGATTCGTTTTTGTAATAATTAACCGTTAGTAAACTTTTAGCCAGCACGTCCGTATATATTAAATAATATACCTAATATATAGTGTTTCTCCAAGACTAAAACTCGCACACTTTTTTGAGGTTGTTGTTTCCAAAAAAAAAAAAATGTATAGGTAGGTATTTACTTAAAAATGTACGTACTTTTAAATGTAAAACCTAAGAAATCTTTATTTTGTTCATGCATAATACAATAACAATTTCATTTTATTTGCGTAAACGTATAAACAATAAACATAAGTCAATTTTTCATTTGGGTGGTAAGAGTATGGGTAGGTATTTAAAACAAATTTTAGTGCTTCTATCAAACCTTTTGGTAAACTTGGTAAAAGTTTTGACGTTCGGAATACATCTGGTCTGTATATTAAAAATAGTGTGCAGTATTACCGGGCCGATAAAGAATATGGTTTTATCCATCGATCTTTTTGGAGTAGAAATCATAAATAGGGGAGGTCTTCCCCCCTTAAAATTTCCCTGAGTAAAGTTAGTAACAATTACACTAGATTATATTCGATACAACAAAGCCGCTCTAAAAGTGAAAATTCTAGATCTCGGATGGCCCTCACGAGTATGTACTGCAAATGTAAACATACCGGAAGCCGGAAGGTTAGGATATGCGTTATTGCATTAATAATGACCAACTTTTTCATATAGGTTCTTAACACTTAACTTTGTCGTCACATGTGTTTGATTGGTCAAATTCGTGTTATTATACACTGATATTTTTTAATGGGAGATGTTATATTACAAAATTATGTATATCAACATATTTTTAAATTGTATTAATTTGTACATAAATATAAGTATAGTAATAATATACCAATAGCGGAACGGGGGCATTCAACCCCCCTCCGTGTGCACACCACTGCCTACATGAGTTACATGTATATATAGTTGTAATATCAATAACATCACAAAGCACATTGTCAACTAGTATTAACAAACAAAATCAAATCGTTTCACACTATGTCGCTCCGTTTGGCTATTAGATTATCTTTAGTTCTAAATCGGCGGGAATAGGTATAAGAAAGGAAACTCCATCGTGCGTGTATACTGTTTTGTGAATGATATGAATACACATTACACATTGACAATAAAATAATACACACGCGTCTAAAAAAATTACGACGTGTTTGATTTCCTTAATTTAAGATTCTGAATGAAACGATGAATGTATTGATTTTACAATGATGTGTGTTTTTTTTTTGTATGTCTGTAATCACGGTTTGGGGCAATAAAACTTCTACGATTTTCTTCAACAGTATCTTGTTCGATGGGAAAGTGAATCTAGTTGGTGTATTCGGGAGGTCAAATTTTAAAATTCTCAATAGTTTTCCAAAGCGTATTACATAAAAATTAAGGAAAAACTGGAATTTTTACGCAAAATCGGTTTTTGACAAAATCGATTTTGGTTTTTGGTGCAACTCTTAAACAAATTACCGTAAGTACATGAAATTTTGACTGAATGTTTATATTAGCATTTTCTATACACTATAACATTTTCAAAATGTTTTGATTTATTTTGAACTGTTTAGGCACATTTTCATTTTCCATTTTTTTTAGTTTTTTTTCTAAAAATATCAATACAATTTTATTTGTTGGTTAAAAAAGATTGAAAATTTAATAGAAGGCTCCTAGTATATTTTTTCAAAGGCAGATGAAAAATATTAAAAATCCTTAGTCACAGTTTTTTTTTTTAAGCATTTAAAGTTCAAAAATTGACAAAATACGGAAAAATCACGAAAATTAGCAAATTATTTTAAGTTAAGAATTCATATAAATTTTTCTTTTTAAATCATAGTTTTTAAAATGTAATACAAGATTCCTTATAAGATTATCTACCTTTATCAAAAAAAAAATGTCTATAAGAAAGTCAAATTAAATTTTTTTTTTTTTATCAATTTTCCCGTGGCAACTTTAGGCCATTGGGAAGTGGGTGGTACTGTAGGTTTTTGGAACTGTAGGTATGTTACACGTGAGTGTATTTTTGGCAGAATTTCTATAGGGGCACCCGTAGGTTTCTGCCATGCCCCGGAGTGGGGGATGGCAGAAACCGGACACCGTGACACCGCCACAGCCGACGCGTTAGACCGCTCGGCCACCTCGTCCCCAAATTAAATTTTTATGAGCGTTTGAAATTCAAATTTTTACAGCATTGGATATTCACTTGATTTCTCATATAGCGATTTCCTTATTTTGTTTTAAACTGTAGATACATGAACATTTTACTGGATGTTTATGTTAGCATTTCCTATACACCATACAATTTTGAAAATATTTCGACCCTTTTTGAGCTGTTTACGGACATTTTCAGTTTTCAATTTTTTTAGTTTTTTTCTATAAATATCAATAAAGTTTTATCTGTTGGGCCAAAAAGTGTAAAAATTTAATACAAGGCTCCTGATATATTGTTACAATAGCAGTTGAAAAATATTAAAAATACATAAGCACAATTTTTTTATAAGCATTTAAAGTTCAAATTTTAACAAAATTTATCAAATTTAAAATTGAATAATTATTTTGTAGTTAAAAGTATAAAGCATATAAGTAAAGTATAAAATGTTCAACTTTTATATCTATAAGGATTGAAAATTTAAAACAAGATTCCACGTAAGTAGTTAATTCTGTTACCAAAAAATCTAAAAAATACATTAGCACAGTTTATTTTTATAGTCATTTTAGGTTATTTGGATGAAATTACATAATAAAAAACCTAGAATAACTGTTTTAGTTATTTTGTTGTGATTGTATAATATTATTCGTGGGTACTTGAAACTTCAAAAGTACACTATTATAATATATCTATGATAGTATCAGGGTTTGTTGTTGATGTATAACGCGTTATAAGTTTAAAGTTGGTACCTAATAGATATTGTGATATGATTAATTTGGAGTTAATTATAGGTACCTATTATAGGTCAATTTTTTTAATATCATTGATAAGTATATAATATGTCTTATACTTAGACTGACACATCGTGTCCTCTTGTACAATGATTGAATGATATTATATCATTGAATTCAAATTTAATACCATCCATTATACAGTGACCCACTTGTAACCTACTGTACAGCAGAGCACCTTTTTTATTTCAGTAAATAGGTAGATACCACTAAATTATATATTTATATGCCAATAATATATTATATACCTTGGGTGAAACCTCGCGTATACCCATACAAAAGATATGATTTGAACTGTGCAACAAACTGCGCCCTGTTTAATATGTAGAGACTACATTTTACGGTGGCTACATAAATATAACTACATATGTTAACACAGTAGCGGATCTGAAGCTCATTTAAGGAGGGGGCGAATTGGTATCATAGAATTTAAATATATACATATTAGTTAATAAACATCCATTGTATATATATAAAAAAAAATTAAAAGGTATAAAAATTCAACAATCTTTTATTCAATATTAAATAAACAAATGTATTAATAATTTATTTGAGCAACAATAATATGGTTTCTTTTTTACCAGCCCCAAATCTGTCAATGAACAATGAAAATAAAGTATTCAGCACTGAATATTAAAATTGAGTTATTTACCACAGTTACAGTGAACAAAATATTTAATTTATTTTATAAAAATTAAGTGATAACAGATTTAATGGTAGGAAAAAAGTCTCGGGGAAAAAAAGTCCCGGGAAAAAAGGATCCTGAAAAAAAGTCTTGGGGGTAAAAAGTCTATTTTCTAAAGATAATATCTAATAATTATGTAATCATATAATAGGTAACTACTTAATACAAAACAGAAAATTATATTGCATCACATAATTATAAAAATCCCAGTTCTATAAATTGTTATCGCTGTAACTTTTAAAAATTATTTTAATAAATACAAAACAGATACCTATTAAACAAAAATATTAGCTAATAATTATAAAATTATAAAAAAATATCTCATTGAATCTTGGTAAATAATATTATTAAAAAAATATACATATCTATACATCACTAAGTTAGATGTTAGAATAGAAAAAAAATTATTTTAATAAATTTAAGAACTTTTTTCCCCGAGACTTTTTTCCGTTCCCCAACAGATTTATACAGCGGTGCAGCATGCTACAGCACTGCTTGACGGTAAAATGATTTTATCTGTCATTCTATCTATAATCTAAAACTATAACCGTAGCAAGTTGTCTACAGCAATTTTGGTTATAATTTATAACCAAGAAAATATTCTTTTATTATCTATGGTTATAACCAATTTCA